ACTTCTTAATTTAAATATCAAATAATCAAAATTGAGTGGCCTAAGTTTTTTCGATCATTCTGTCGTTTCTTAAATAATCAAAGCTGAGCGGCTATGCTTCTTTTCATCTTACCTTTTTTTTTTTTGTCTTATTCATTGAATTTTCTCCACTTTGATCAAGGTAATTTGTATATATTGGTGAAAGGATCTTATTTTAGAAAATTTGTTATTTGTATATTTTTAAATTGAACTACGTTATTTTGTAAGTGTTAATATATTGTTGTTGTATATGTTGGTGATTAAGATTGAAATTAATTAATGAGGTAATTATATTTTGGGCTCACGTCTATTGATACTCTCATTTTCAACCACATATTCTCCAAAAAGTTATCATTTTTCACCTTTTTCAATAACTTTTCATACTTTTTAATTCCACCTTCTTCATTAAAAAAAAGGTCATTTTTATAAGTTTGCCTTATTTACATAAGTGAACTAAACAGCGTGTTTGCCTCATTTTTCTCTATCAAATAGATGCCACCTTCAAAACTTCATCCGCAAAATGAGAATGAAAAGGAATGATTACGGTTTGATGAGGTTAAAATCGTTTTTGAATTGACGTGCTTTAGAGAATTATTAAGGATAGGTGAGGAGTATTGCATGTTCACATGGACATCCACATTCTTCATCCATTAGTTTTCACATTCATGTCAATGGAGCAAGTTAATTGGTATGAGAACCGTGAATAGAGTGGCTAGATTGATAAGTAAATTGAAGTTGGGTGATATGATTGTACAAAATTGAAAATTCATGACTTGGATGCATCTTTGTTTAAAGTTGAGTGACCCGCAATGCATTTAACCTCGTGAAAATAATACCCCGGGAGACACGTTTTTTCACATAAGTATGCTTGGATAGATGCCGCGCTTTATCTCATCTTTTCAGCGGAAACCGATTTTAACTCAAACTGGACAAAATTGGAGCAATTGACACCGGAAGAGGAGTCCAAAACCTCTCTATATAAATTCATCACAGTGATTTTGGATGTAACTATCAAATATTCAAAATTTCCCGCTTCATAATACGGGGCGAAAATGAGAGATTTCCAGCTACAAACACCGCAGCGGGATCAGATTCCTTCAAATCACCGATCAAAATCCAACTCTGATCTCAATAAAAAGCCTCAAAAGGTACTATTCAGCTCAATAAACCCTGATTTGTACTATATGTATGTGTATATATTTGCGATATGGATTGACAACTAATTATGAATAAATTAATAGTTTAATCAATACTCTGAATTTTCTGATGTAATACTTGTTTGTGCAGTTCCCGCGAAAGAACTTGAATAATGTCTTTAAGGCAGTTTCTGAAGAGGATCCTTTGGCTTTTCAATTTTCAAAGGAATTGATTGAATCGGTATCTGAAGTTTCTGATCATAATCCGTTCAATGAATCTGATGAGGTAATTCATAGTTCAATTTCACTTTGCTGAGTAAATTGACATTTTTAATTTGTTTCAGAGATTTAGAGCTTGTTTGGCTAAGCTTAAAAATTTTATTTAGAAGACTTAGAAGTAGATTTACTTATGAGTAAATAGTTTGTTTAAGATTAAATAATTTTTTTTCTTGGTGAAAGTTTTGAATATGTAAATTACTTTGGAGTTTTTACATAAATGTAAGGGCTTAAAATTACTTCTTTCTAAGCTAGCAAATGAATTTTATAATTTAATTTTATTTGTACGTTATTATTATTATTATTATTATTTATTTTTTTTTTTTTTTTTTCAGAACTTCCTTGTAAATCCAGTGGCTACACCTACAACAAAAACAGAAACAGTTGCTCTGACTGATCTCTCTCCATCGTCGTCCTCTTTGTTATCTACAATTACTTATGATAAAGACATAGCTAACAATGCCTCGAAAAACAAATGTGTAAATCCTGAAATCAACTCTGTCAAGAACATGGAATCTATTGAGGTGGATATAGTGATAAAGCATCTGAAAGATGCTAGAGTTCAGGTCTTGAATTCAAGTGATGTGAACTATTCAAAGAAGCTTCTAGACGCTCTGATAAATGTTGTCATTGAAGATTTCTATGGTGGTTTGTATGAAGAGAAGGACCGGCTAAATAAATTAGTTTTGAGCAAAGTTCGTGTGGTTTCCCTAAGTATTCTGGTTGGTATTCTTGCTGTTTCAGTATTTTTGTTCTCAAATTCTGGAGCAAAAGGCCTTCATAATGGACTGACACCAACTTGACACAATTTATCTCTTGGATGATTAGTACATCAAGTTTGAGTCTTTCTCCAATCACAGATGTATTTTCTTCCTGTCCTCTGATGATATGTCAATGAAGAAAAGAAGCTAAAAGCAAGTTTATTATATTGTTGAATCATTTCTAGTACTGCATACTATACAGTAGTTAGTAGTTGTTGCTGAACTTTTTATTGGTATTAAAGTCGTAATAATACATAATATTGGGATTTGTGTATAGATGCACATGCGTGATGCCACTTTATGTGTTAGAAATATATAGTTCTCGAATGATGATATATAGATGCTGAATTTCTCTGATTAGTTCATCAATTTTCTCTTGGATCATTTGTTAATATAGTGAAAGTGTGATGAATTTCTTTTCTGGACATTCTTGTGTTTGCCTTTTGCTTTCATGTAGACTAGGAAATATTCGAGGTAGGCAGTCATGTGTGTGTATAATTTTATATCCATGTCTAAGGTTAAAGGACTGATGACACATTCCTTGCCAGTGGATGACCATCTATCTATGTATGAGGATTTCCGGTAACTTAAATATTTTTGCAAAAGGATTGTTCTGGCCTTTTTAATGAAAATGGAAATTTTCTTTAGGCTGAAAAACAAATAAGTTATTGCATACAATTTGTGTGATCTCGAACTAGGCACTAAACTTTGTGGCCCTGGTATCTGAACCTTAACTAAATATTTTATCCACCCACTTTGCATCTTTTAAGGACTCTTCCCATACTTGAATGCTGGCCTGATTTGAAAGTTCAGTACATAAGATCAACAGCCGAGATGGTTGTTGCTAATACTCCCCCTATCATTGCCTACCCAACTCTTGATTTTCCAAATTTATTTCTTCTTTTAATATATTTGGATGACTTAAAAAGCAGCTCTGTTGCAATAGCAATGTCTGCTTGTTGCAGAGGATCTGCCTCTGGTATAGTACAGGATTAGAGTGCCTTGAAATGTTCATCTGATCATGCCTTACTCGAGATTTTTCTAACCATTAGATGATATGACTGCTCATATATTCTTTGTCCTAAGAAAATATTTTCCTTCCATATGTTGAGAAACATAAAGTTACCTCTCTGCTTGAGTGATCTATTAGCGACTCTAAAGGAAAAGTTTAAAATAGAACTAAGCATGTTAAAGCTATAACAATCTTTCGCATTTGGGTAAAAAACTAATTCTTTAATTATTTTCAAGGAATTAAGAAGATCCAGAAATATGCGTGCAATGGTCGGTGTACTATTAACATCCATTTTACTCATTGGTCTTCTTGAAAATTTTGAGTCACACTTGCATTAGGATCAGGAAGAGTCCTTAAAGACGAAATATGCATTATTTGTCAATTAATGCATGAACTGGCATCTACTTGAAGAGGAAGGATAAATGCTGATCGAAGAATTGGTGCAGGTATACAACACACTCCAAGCATCAGCAAGATTATCTGGTATGTCATACAGCATAGTCCAATTTTATCTTCTGCACAATTGTCAGTCTTATATGTGACATCTTATTGTGAAACTTAATATCTGCTTGCTGATCACTTGGAATGAATTTTCAACTTTCAAGTTTGGTACATTTGACTAGACATCTTTCCTCTTTAATATTATTCAGTCTTGTGTGGTCCATTCCTGTCCAGCACACGAAATACATCCACAGAATATTTATGCTTTTGATTTCAATTGTCCATGAGACGCATATACATCTTCAGAAAATTACGAACTCCATCAAATTCAAGAGAAAAATGCATTATTGTTTCCCAGCAGATTTGGTATCTGATTGATTGAGTTAATATGGTGGTTGAAGTGGTTCCATACACACTCCGGCAATTTGCTAACAGACTAACTATCTCATTTATTAATTATTTGGTAGTTAAAACGGTTCTATCATTTTCTCTGTGCTTTCTTTTTGCCTAAAAATTATTTTCTTTCTAATTTTAGTTTTAACTAGTTGGCTCACAGCTGAGGGACGAAACTGTACAGATTAACTCCTAATCCCTACTTGCAAAACCCATAAACATAAAAAAAACTTCATGATTTAGACGATGATATGAGATATATGTTTTTCCCCTCTCTTGTATTTTTTCAATATCCCATCAATAAAACTATTTATCTTAAGAATGCTTTTTGGTAAAAGCAAATTAGTGGTTTTGATTGTGTTTCAAAAGAGCAGAATAATAAAGGCAAAATTTTATGTCTGGATCTTGTCTAAGGTTGTAAGGCATATTGTTTGGTATGTGACATGTTGAAACACTTACTATATACGATCTCATGGATATGTTTTCTCTAATAAAAAGATCTAGTTCGATGTTGATTTCTGCATATTCTTCAAGTGTGCAAATCTTGTGACAATAGTATGTCTCTTTGATCTAACATTGGGCTTATAAAAGTAGACACGCAACACGTAATCAAATCATAATACTTTGTTATTGTTTACGTCAATCGTTGTGCACCGAAATCGCACTAGGCATCTCAAGAGCGTAGAATTTCAAAATCTTTTACCTTCTTTTTCCTGCCAAGAGTATCCTTATAGTAAAATACTGGAATCTTCCTTGTCTAGCAACGTGTATTATTGCCTTAGCAAAATGTACAACATTTTATCCAAAAATAAAGATTATTTCCAGTTATTTTCCATTATTATATAAAACCTCCCTCAGTTTTTACTGCTTTAATTACATTATGCTCTAATTTAGTTGTTTAATGGTGTCTCGTGGTAGGGGGCAATCCCTCTGTCAATGCCTGGAGTCTGTGTTCATATATTTTCTTGAACGTAAATTAATGAATTTATAAATATGTTGGTGAGATACATGGAACCATGATAATTTGGTAAGAATTTCGGATTAAGTCAATGATTTAATTAATTAAATTAATTAGGACATTTTTATAATCATACAGCCACTAATTTTATTTGATGTCATTAATCACTACTTTTAGTCAACTTATTTTTTCTTTGGATGATTGATGAT